TAGAGAAAGGTATAGGAAGCCTGAGGAACCCCCATGCTCTCTGGAGAACATCATTCTAGCCAAATCTCCATGTGCTCACCAATCCGAAAATTCTCTGAGCGCTGCCCTTCTGGATTTTTATGGAGGCTTCATTACATAATTGAGATTAAGTCATTGGCCATTGGCAGCAGATTCAGTCCTCTTCCCTCCTTAGAGATTGGGGGTGGGACTGAAAAGTTCCATCTAATCACTGTGTAGATTCTCTTGGCAACCAATCCTTATTCTTAGGTGGGGTCCAAAAGCCACCTCATTAACCTAATGAATTACACTTTTCATCACTTTCAATGCTTAGGAAATTCTATGCTAGAAACTGGAATGAAGATCAAATGTATCTATTACTTATAAATCAAACCTCACAGATAGATAAGCTGATGATCAAGATTCCAGACCTGTAAGCCTGGACCAACAGATCTTGACTCTGTAAGACCTTCCAAGACATACTAACCAGTGAGGTTAAAATGGTGTGTCCAATCTGATAAAGCTTACAGATAGATGTGCTTACAAGTCAGAGCATGGGAACAGTTGTTACTTGAGCTACCTAGACTCTCTGAGTTTTGGTTTCCCCATTGATAAAGTGGGGACAATGGTAACACTTGCTTCATAGTGTTACAGTATAAAAAAATGAGACAATACACGCAAATCACTTAGTAGGAATGTATGGACTGTTTTAAGCAGTTAACAAATATTAGAAATTATTCCAAGAATGAAATCTCAGAAGCAGTTTTAGCCAGAATTAGGGAACATCCTCTGAGGAGTGAAAATTAAGTAAAATTAGGGCAAATAACAGGAACTGTACATAGCAACAGAAAGATAAAGAACCTGCTGTCTTGAGTAGGTTGTGCAAATTTATTAGTTAGATGTGTGATACCCCCAGAGCCCCATCCGTTCCTTTATCACAGCCCAAAGCAAAATAAAGTGGATTGTAATTGTCTGTCTGCTTGTCTGTCTTTTTTCAAAGGACTTGAGGGCATGTATGTGCTTTTTTCCTCTAACCTAAATACCTTCTGCAGTGTTTACCATACAGTAGATGCTCCGAAATGTTGGACAAATAAACACTTAAAGCAGGCTTAAATAAACACGAATGACAACACTGTTTGGTTTCTCACTTACAAAGGACATTAGAAAACTTATCAAAAGGAGGAGGAGGTGTTTCTTTTTAAAAAAGGACCTTTTTTTTCTTTTCTTATTTTTGTAAAGGAAGTGAATTTTACTAAGTGTTGAGAGAATGTGTAAACTCACCACAGGTGACACTATCATAACACTGCCACAGGAGAATTCACACCTATAGATGAGCTAGTTGAAGAACAAAGTTAGTTTTGAAAGGTTAAAGAAAAAGATTTTGAAATGTCAGATCCACTCTATAAAACTGACCACCCTTGGCATCATGCTTTGAATCTATCTGGGTTTGAGAATAGCCTAGGGCATTTGAAATGAAGACAATTAGCACCTCAGACAGGGCATCCTCGTGCAAAATTTGTCACCTCTTGGAGACCTCACAAGGTGACAAGTTTAGATAAAAAGAGACTTTCAACCTTGACTGACAGTTTGTCAAAGCTTTTATATTTGATTTAAATGGTATCTATATTCTAAAAGGTTGTAGTTTGCCTTAAACTGTGAAAGTCTCTTCCTAACACCTTGTGATATTTTTTTCTTAGGTCATTTAAAAACAACACAAACAAATAACTTTCCTCTCTTGGGTGAGACCTGAGGAAACAGCTCTTGCATCACACACAAAAATGAGCTTAGTCCTTTTGCCCTATGTTTCGCTTTTTTAGAGCTTTCATTTAAAGCACAGACTGTTAGAGCTGGTAGCGGCCCCATGGATCATCTGATTCAACTCCATTTGACAGATGGAGAAAATGAGGTTCAGAGAGAGGAAGTGATTTAGTGGCAAAACATGGAGTACAGTCTAATTCTCATAATTGCAGGACTATTTCTCTTTGCTAACTCATCTTGCCATTTCAAAGGTGAACTAGAGGAATGTAGAACCAAATGTGTGTGTGTGTGTGTGTGTGTGTGTGTATTCATTTTATTTTCTTGAGAGCACTAATTTCATTCACTCACTCAACAAATATATTTAGTATCTAATATGTGCAGACACCGAGGATATGAGCCAGAAAGGCCCTGTTGCCATGGACCCTATATTCTAGAGGCAGAGAGAGAGAGAGACAATAAACAATACGATAATTGTGCCTCTAAGTGGATTATCCTTGTATTTGGGATACATTTTCTCTAAATCTTTCTCTCTTGGTGTCTGTATTATCTCTGGGGCTCCCCTCTTTCATTTTTACCCTTTCCTCTTGTGTGTGTGTGTGTGTGTGTGTGTGTGTGTGTGTGTCGGGGGGGGGGAGGTAGAGAAAGAGAGAGAGCTAGAACACCATTTCAATCTCTCTCTACACTTCCAGCTCAGCACCAAGTTCTGAATTTGCTAAAGTTAGGTTTAATACTCGTGTAGCACTAGAGTGAAGATGTCAGTATTTTTCATCAACATTGCAGTGGTGGGTGGGCTCAGCTGTCATCTGGCTTGTGAGATGACAATGAGGAACTGGATGTGAGAGTTGTACTATTACCTTATAATTTATCTGTTCTTTTTTTTATACGATTTTAGTTGTGCTGAACCCCGTCGTACCTGGCTGCTTTGACAGGTGTGCTATTTTAGCAACACAGAACAAAACAGAGAGCAAGAAGAAGAATGCATGGTACACTTTTGCTGTCAGATGATTTGTTCAGGGTTGTTCAGAAAAAAAAAAAAAAGAAGAAAGAAAGAAAGAAAAGAAAAAAGCTTAGGTTTTGTTTTCACCTGGGTGCCACGGAATGTTCTCGCAGCCCATTAGGGCTGTTGTCCGAATGGACTGAAGGAGGAGGGGAGACCCTTCCCCATCTTCTCACTTCATGTTTGAACCTCCATGCCTGTGATGAATTTCTCCGGGCTAATCAAATGCTTGTGCAACATACAGACAGTTCAGGGCACATTAACTTCTCAATGTTTTATTTTCTCCAAAGAAGACATTGATGTGGCATCGATGTACACATCCACTTACCAGCTGAAATTTTCCCTTGACCCAAAGCATTAGAAACAGTAAGAGGTGGAGTTGGCCACGGGCAAGCGTGGTGGGAAAAGGAGGAGAGAATCTTGGCTCAGCTCACCAGAGCCTCTCCCCAACAGCATATTGAATACTGCTTTATTTTATTTTATTATTTTTTTTGTGGTGTTGCAAAAGACTGTAGGAGACTGGTGTTTACACTTTATCAACTAAAATATTTGAAAGCTTAATGGTGCTTTGTTCAACAAGGAGGAATTTATTAGCTATCATGCAAAGAAGGGTGAGGAATGAATAGAATCTTGCCTCCAAACGGAGGAGCAAATAACAGGCAACCATCGACTAATTAAAGGAGAGCAATTACTTCACTGCTAAGGTTGATAGATTCTGAGGCTGGACATACTTTAATCAGGAAGGGGAGTTACTACAAGCTGCCACTGAAATCTTAGAGGATTGTTCTCGAGCCTAGAGGGCTAATGGTGCACGCAGCTCTGTGCATCTGATCCATTAGGAGGACATGTGAGGATTTAAAAACTGTTCTCTCTATTGGGCTCACAGCCTTGCCTGTTTTCAAGGAAGTAGGTGCTTAAGTTGTGGAAGACAACATACCTTGTTATTTAAATTCCAATTTTAAAAGTATTTTGCATACTCAAAAGGAAATGTATCACACGGGTTCGGCTTCCAGCATTAAACAGTCATATTCTAAAAGAAGGAATTCTGAACAAGAAGGAAGTTTGGGGGAATTATTGTTTAACAGCACATTTTGAAATAGAAGCAATGTTTGATTTCACAAAAGGAAATGAAGGCTGAAAGTTTTTACAAAATTAATGACAGTTTAGCATCAGTTGAGATTAAAACATATTCTCTAGTCACAACAGAGAATAAAAGTTACAACACAATCATCCACACTCACTATATGAATTATTTATTTTTTAAAGATTTATTTATTTATAGAAGATCTGGGCCAGAGGTGCAGGAGGGTGAGAGGATTCACCAGAGACAGAGTGGGGAGCAGAACAGGCAGAGAGACCAAAAGCACTGCTGAGGGGAGCAGCGGGCAAGACAGGAGAGGTCTGCTGTGCCATGTGGGTATCTCACTGGCTGGCCGGGAACCCAACCAGCACTGCAGAGGCTGCAGACAGCTTCACAGTGCTGCGCTCAACCCGCTGCACCACCGGGGAGGCCCCTCACTGTATGATTTAAAACAAGTTTTAGGCCCAAAATGCTGAAAGGTGAGCCTTACACATCAAGGGGAACACACAGATCCTCATAGAGAGAAAGCACCAATTCAGTGATTCTTCTCCCCTCTAAAGGCCATCAAAATACATAAATCTAGAACATCTTTGGAAATAGACTGATTTTTTTGTACCTTAATTAGCCGATTGGGATCTTGGACAAGAAGGCAGGAGTAATCAGTTCAAGATCAATTGTTCAAGGTGAACGTGGAGTAGGAGGGGAAGCAGCGAGGAGGAATTTGCCCTCATACCGCAGGTCACTCACTGCTTCTGAGTCTGAGGCTGTCTCCTGGCTGTGCTCGGTGGTAATGGCACACCGAAAGTACTGAGAGTTTCTGAGTTCTGGTCTCAACTTTTGGCCTTTTCTCTCTCCTGGAGTTGGCCTGTGGGAAACCGCAAGGACAGAAGCATTAGCAAGGATTCCCGTGTGCGCGTCAGGGTCTGCGTTGGTGGAGCAGACTAACTCTTGTGAGGCCCTTTCCATCTCTCTTCCTCTCTCCCTGCCAACCCTGTGTTGAGGGGGAGGGGCCGGGAAGGGGATCAAATATGTGGCAGCAACCAAGCTGCTAAATTGCTGAGCTGGTTTTCATTGAAGTGTGAGGAGGTTTGAAGAAAGGTAGACAACATCCTGTTGTTTGGGGTGCTCCTCTCTTCTTTTGCACATCTGGTTGAACAGGGAGTCAGGTGGCTGAGCCTTGCCTGGTGGCAGCAGCGGAGGCATTTTCCTTCTAACACTGCACACTTCGCCTGCCTGAGAGTCCACCAAGCCATGGATGCAGTGACTGTGTATCATGGCAAAATCAGCCGGGAGACTGGGGAGAAGCTCCTGCTAGCCACGGGTCTGGATGGAAGCTATTTGCTGAGAGACAGTGAGAGCATCCCAGGCGTGTACTGCCTCTGTGTTCTGTGAGTATGTCCCAGCGGTGAGGCCTGGGCCTGGGGCTTGCAGAGGGCACTGGTAGAGGGCTGGAGGTGGTAGTCGGTGGGTTTCGGGTGGCATTAGCTCTTCAAGGCCTCCTCCACTGTCCAATAGGAGGCCCCTTGGCCTTCCTCAGATCCATTCCAAGGCCCTGGTAGACCAGGCATTGGCCCCTGCCTGGGGATTTCATTCCCTGGGCTTTCTGATCTCCACAAGGCCCTCACCAAGGCCTTTGTGGGAACGCCCTTTTGGGTGGGGAACTGCAGCCTAGAATTTACCTCTGCTTGGGGAATGACCCAGGCTCCCTCCTCCTGTTTTGGCCTCCAGTGGAAGCCACGGAGGTGGAGTCCTGGGATGGGGGACTGACAAGATTGTGCCACCAGATCCTGAGTCGAGGTGGTGTTTGCGGGGCTCCGCTCTTATTTTACACATCTGTCTTAATCTGGGAGTCTGGCTGAAGGCTTCCCTCCAGCTCTCTAAGTGGATTTGGAGGTGTCATCCCCAAAGGAAGACCGTCAAATTCAGGGAGAGGAAGAAGACTAAAGAGACTGAATCCACTGGCGAATGAGATGCCAGTTCAGTTAGGATGCTGAGAGCGGGATGTTAGTGACTAAAATTGCCTCCCTGAACTGGCTTTTAGCCTTCTTTTAGAGGAGTTGAGATGGGGGTGGGGGTGAGGAGGGGACAGGAGTTTTCACGACAGGACATTTCCTGCTAAAAGTTAAGACTGACACTGTTGTTAAAGGGCCTGGGGGGAAAACACCCTTGTTATGACTCAGCTTTGCCCTTTCCCCTAGGCATGGCCTGGTCTACCGCCCCATTTTGGATCGTTTGCACTTTTATGCTTGCTCCAGGACTCCAGAGTCAGGGGCATCCAAGACCTACTCCTATGTTAACAATGCTAGGCTTGTCACCTCGGCAAGTTAACTTCTCTCTCAGTTTTCTCGTCTATAAAATGGGTATAATATTGCTACTTATTTCAGGATTGTAAGTCTAAAATGCTATGATCCAGGTGAAAATTTTAGCCCCGGAGCTGACACATAGTAAATATAAGCGATTGTTATTATTACTACCTTCTTTTGGTCAGTTGATTTCTTTTAGTTCTCATGAGACATTCTTGGGAAAGACGTAGCACAATTACTTCTTGTCAGCAGGATAAAAACACCAACCCTGTACAGCAGGTTCTAGACAAAAACAGTATGGGGAAAATGCTTGGTAGTAATTTCCGTACCTGAAGATACACTGCAAAGTTTTGAAGTGCCTTCTGGGTTTGTGAACAAAGAGTCTTCTGAGGCTGGTATTAGATGATTTTCATTCCTTTTTGCTTTTTTTTTAATGATCAAGTCATGTCTGTGGCAGCTCTTCAAGGGAGATATGTGAGAGCTGTAGAATCTCTTGGACTCAGATCTTTCTGTTTTGCTTATATTTTTATTTTTCCCAAATGCAAACTGGGGAAGGTCAATGGTTGCCAACTCAGACTCTTAGAAGAGAAGGTGGAGGAGTAAGTGGGCAAGTGAAGGGAGCTCCTTTGGGGAGGCTGACAAAGGCAGTAAAGGGCCCCTTCACTTAGTGCGAAGAAGAGAAGTTACAGAAGAAGCCAGGGCAAGGGAAGCCAAATGCAGCCGTGTGTGCCATGTACCTTCAGCCACACTGGTCTCTGTTGTCTGTAGGCTTGTCAAGCTTGCTCCCCATTTAAGGTCTTTGCACTTATTGTTTCTGCCTGTCCCCTCAGAGAGGGCACCCTATCTAAAATAAGTGTCTTTTCTCTGTCCCTGAATCACTTATTATTTTACTTCAAGGAGCTTTAATCTAGCTGACATTTGTTTACTTTCTGAGCACTAGTGTCCCCTGTAAGATGTAACTCAACGAGGCCATTGTCTCCTGCACCAGTAGAACAGGCTGGCACAAAGAAGACACTCAATAAAGATTTTTAATTAATAAATGAACCGTCGAGGCAAACAGTTATTTATTGCAAAGAATTCTGAACTGATATCCGGGGGCCAGGTGGCCGTGGAAAATTACTCAAATTCTCTAGGTCTTGGTGTGCATTTTAAATAAAGGGAATAATAATACGGGTCTGACATTCTGCATATGACTGCTGTTAGTAAAATATGCAAAAGAGGAGGACAAATTTGGCTTTTTGCCCATGTAGTCCAGGACCACATAAGGAATTAATTGAGGTTGGTGGGAAATCCTCAAACATTTAAGTTTTCACCCCAAGTGAATCACATAAATGCAATTTTTATGACTCTTAGTTCTTCACACAGACCTTCTTATAAAGCAGCAGAAAATAGGCACATTGAGAGTCCCCTTAGTATGTCTTGATGGGCACACTGTGGTCCCCAAGTCTTCGAGGGTGATTACCAGTCTGTGCTGCAGAGGGAAGACACAGGATGCATTGCAATTTATGACAGTTTCTTAAACTTTTTGAGCCAAGGTTCGCTTCTGATAAACATAAACATTCCATTCTCCTTTTTAGTACTGCACTATAGCAACAATTTCAATTATATTTAGAAATAAACCACGTACTCATTTTAAACCTAAATGTGTATGCTTGTGATATGCAGTACAAATAACAATGTAAATAGTGACTCATGAGCAATATGCTGTACCTAATAAACATGCTTTCATAGTAGGGTTCACTCAGAATAGTTTCTTGTTCTGCCTTTTATTTCATTCCCATTATCCAAGGAGGTGCAGCTGGGCTTTATTTTAGTTTCCATTTTTTACTGTAGAAATTGCACTTTCACATGCCTTTGAACCCTACTTTACACTTTCAAATTATGCTTGTTCCTTTCCCCAGTTCTGAACCTCTAGTCATGGCTTTTAGATAAGGCCTTTCCTCTGTTCAGTTTTGGAAAATTGAATCTATAAAGTACTAGAGAAGTATCCCATTTATAGGATTTCTTCCCTTCATTTCAAGTGAGGCTTTTCTTCCAATTATTTTCAATAAATAAATCTGGATTTTGGTATAATCAGTTAATTCTATTATCTTGTCCTTATTACCAATAAGTTGGTGATAGGTCCTAATATTTATTCATATTACAGAACATTTGAAAATGTAGATAAAACAAATGAGGGAAAAGTCAACTGTAGTTTCAGAATCTAAAGGCAGATAGTATTGAAAATTAAGTGGATTTTTGCCTCTATTTTAATAAAGTAAACTACTTTGTAAACACAAATGGGCTCTTAAAATATTACAATATGCTGCATTTTTCACTTACCATGAAAAAGAAAACCCACTCATATATTATGTTCTTCCAATTGCTTTTAAAACACAATTTTTAATGGTTTCATGATAGTCCAGCCAGTGAATGTAGTATATTTTCTTTAAATAGTCATCTATTTTTAGACATTTGAATTATTCTACTTTTAGGCCACTATAAATTCCATCATGATTCTTATTCTGCTCCATAAATATTTCCTTGTATTTATAATTATTTTCTTGTAATGAATATAAAATGTGCAATTTTTAGGGCAGAAAACATGAACAGTTTAGGATTATTAACATACACATGATCACGAAATATTTACTCCTAAATGGTTATTCCAATTTATATATATGATAACCAGTAATGTGTGCGTGTCCATTTCACTGCACCCTCCTTAGAAATAGTATTCTTGTATTAAAAATTCTCTGTGTCTTTTATTTGATTGGGAAGCTTTTGTATTTCCTTGTTTGTGACTTGGCTCCCTCCTTGTGTACTTTGCCCCTTCAGCCATTTGTAATATTTTTTTGAACACATTGTGTGTTTTTACATGGTAATACTTGATTTCTTGAAAGTATTTTTTCTCAGCTTGCTCTTTGCTATTACTTTTCTTTGACACACAAAAAATGAACATTTTTAGTAATAAGATCCAACACTCATTTTTTGTATTTGATCTTTCCTTTACTTCTCAGCTTAGAAAGTTCTTCTTCCTTCAGAACTATGAAACCAACTTAGTTGTTGTTTTAAATTTATGGTTTGGTTACTTTACATTTAACTCTTTAATTCTATTTGGAATTTAACTTTAATGTGCAGAAAGGATCTAATTCGATTGCGTTTTCAAATAGCTAGCAATTATCCTAATATAATTTATAAATAGAACTTCCACTTCCCATCAATTTATTAGCCTACTCTACCCATATTATATTTTTAATATAATATTTATTGTTTCATAACCTATTTGATTCAATTGATCTAGTTATACTTGTACTAGTATAGTGCAACAATATTTTCATACATTTATAAGAATAGTTTGCTATGCTTACGAGTTGGTTCTTTGAGGTAAAATCTAGAAGAATTTTGTTAAATTAAAAAAAATCCCATTGGGATTACATTAGAGTCATTAATAAGCTAAGGAGGAATTGTCATCTATAAAGAATATAGTTTTTCTATCCAAAAACCTGATATGGCTCCCAATTTATTTTTATTTTTATTTGTAGTCTTCTTGGTGTAGGTCTTGCATATTTTTGTTATGCTTATTTCTAGTTATTGTATGGGCAAATGTGTGTTATTGTGTGTATAAATGTGTATGTTGATTTTTTTTTGGCTTCTGTTGTAAATGAGATCTTTTTCCTCCATATTTTCTGTTGCGTAGGAAAATTACTGACTTAATTATTTTTCTTGCTTTTATCCACTCTACTAAATGCTCTCCTTAGTGCAAATAATTTTTATTTTATTTTGTTCTATTTGGTTTTATAGGTATATCAAGTTTCTTCTCACTAAGGTATATATGAGCGCTATACATTCCTTTCCTTCACTCCCTCAATGTAGACAGCTATTGGGAAAGTCCTAAATGCCTACTGGGATAGTCTGAAGGTGATAAGATAAAAACTAATTTAAAATATTTAATATAATTAGTTGGGAGAAATAGTTTATTTCCATAATTAGCATCCTTCTGTCCATATTGACTTTGCTTACTACTTATCTGATGGAAGATTAAGAAGAAGAAATAGTATTATGTTCTTTAGCCTCAAGGACACATAATGAAATCATTTGACATA